TCAAATATCTGCACAGACTTGTTCTGCAAAGCATCTCACCTTTTCAGCCACTGACCCTGGGGTTTCCAAGCCCTTCCATTGCGCCACATTTAGAACCATGTTATAGTAGAGCTGTATATAATATCCTTCAACTACATTAGAGCCCATTATACTCTCTGTCACCATAAAAATGCCACTTTATAATACACTCCATCAGGATGCTTTACTGTTTATGACATACGGCAGAACTAAATATGCTTTAAAATAGTTTAAACTGGGGAAAATCTTCCTCTCTCTGGCCTTCACACAGTTCATTTTCTCAAGTTAGCATGCAGATGAAGGCAGGAAGAGCAGCTCTAAAATGAGGCATCTGTTAAAGACCAGTTTTCCTTGAAGTACTGCACATCAGCTCACACAACTTAATGTGCTGCCACTGCTCAGCAGGGCTGTCCATGTGAGGCAGCAGGCACAGCACCACTGCACACCAAGCACACAAATGGGGAGGGAGATCATCAGCACATGGACCAGCCACCCCTTCTGAAGCCAGGCTTAAGCAATGAGTATCTGAGATGCTGCACAGCAGCCTGGACCTGCCAACTTCCCTTCTGCCCTCCCTGGCTGGCAAACCAGAAGCCAGACTAGCCAGCAGCACACAAGGATCACTGCAGTAGGGATTACTTTAAAGTTTTTATTCTAGAGACATTGCCAACCCTGAGATTAGCAGGCTTATACTGGTATTTGATAGACTTCCTTAGATGCTAGGTATGCACTTACTGTAACTTAAATAGCAAATGTATAGAATAGTCAAGAGGATTTTTTCTTTATTTCAATTATAAAGAACAAGAATAATTTCTGGGGGTCAGATGGGCCTTAAGTCTGGGTTCAGCAGCCTACTGACACCCTGGAACAGTCACAGTAGCTCATGGCAATATCCATAACACATGACAAGTCATGGCTTGAATTCATTTTCTTGCACTTATTTGGGTACCAGTTACTTGATAAACTTTCAATTCAGCTTCCACCATGTATCTTCTCCACACCTTTACCCTTAAATACGAAAGGAAAGGGTCATTTGCTCTTACATTTGACGCTGCATGTCAAATTCGCTCAAACAACAAGGATCAATAGCATGCAAAATTCAAGAGACCTGCCAGGACACAAAAATATAATAAAGATCAAGGTGACAGCAGGTTTTAATTATGTGAGAGGAGAAGTTATGTTCTGTAAGGTCTTTGCAATTTGAGACTATAATCAAAATGTCATCAGCCTGCCTCCTGTATTCTCAATCTCTTAGGAAAATGGCTAAAACTGGTATAACATTTTCAGATTAATTTTGATGCTTCCATCAGAAAGCCTGACATTTGGCTAATGTCAGACATCACCTACACTGTCATTTGATTTCTCTCTTCCCCCTGGGGTGTCACTTCACTAATGACCTAGAGGGGGTAATGAAATGCAAGGAACAGATTCAGGACAGAACTTCTGAAAATGATGCAATACGGGCTTTGACATTAACATAACACCCATGGAAGCACTCGGAAATGTATGTCATTTGCCAAGCCACACGATACAGGTAATTAAAAACTAAGTGTAAACATTCTCATCATTTACCCAAGTAGATGCTGATCCAATTTGCTTTGAGTCCTGTAAGGAATTTGCATCAGAACACAAGACATCTGTGAAGAACACCATAAAGTCTCTGAAGTTTTACAGTTATATCACTGCCTCCCATGTGGGAAGATGCAGATTTCACCCTCCCTTTCACGTGAAACAGCATACAAACCAATTTGTGCTCCCAGCCTACATATTCCTGGTATAAAATTAGCCCCCTTCCTTCCTTTCAATCTCTTTGGAGTTTAAGATCAAATAACATGCCAAAAAATATTAAATATTTTGAATGTTAAAAAATAAAGTGTCTCCTATGAAAGAATCTTGTGGCACCAACCGTACATCCTGATACATGAGGAAACAGTAACTCCCACCTTCACGGCAAAAATGCCAGAGAAATACACATGTAAGGAATTATTTAAGACCCTTGTAAGGAAAGGTGGTAAAATATGCAAGTGGCATCGTGAACTCAGAGAAATGCAAAGCTGAAAAGGACCTCAGGAAATCGGATGAGCTTTCCTTTGTTCTTCAAGTAAATTCAGTCCTTTGTTCTTTTAGTAAACTCAGTTTGCCCACATCAGCTGGCGGTGCTGTAACCCCTTCCTCTCATGCTCAGCCACACAGTTACACACCTTTCTCCCTGCAGCCCCTACCTAGGATTGTAAAAACTCCTTCAGACTCACCACTGGTAACAGCACCCCGATTAGCTAACGCTAAACTCCATCCAAACAGTAACACTAGCAGTAACCTAGTAACACTAAGTCCCCATCCAATGCTCTGCACTTGGCTGGGAGTCTATTCCACACTTTCCCCAAGAGGCAAGAACACTGCAGCAGCGTGCTGTAATATTAGATACTACATTATAAGCAGGAGCAATGTGATTATTTCTGCTGAAAACAGAGCCATTCCAAAATACCCTTTATTAGTCTTTTTTTTAAATTCACCAAACTTCTTCACATCAGTAAAGCAGAATATTGCACTATAATTTTAAAACAAAATGTGGCTATCCTGCTCTTATAAGATCTAAAGTATTTTCCAATTACTTCTGCCTGCGGCCTTTCAAGCACTGGGGATGAGAATTCTGATATTTATGACTTCTTCCAACTTCCTGATCTTTTTTTTTGAGGCTCATCTATAGGCCAGAAGAGTGGTAGGGAAATTTTTGCTGCTTGCCAAGGTCTTCATTCAAATCACACAGTAACTTGCCTACATCCTCTGCCTTCCTAAGTGGAAGCACAGCTTATACTTCCAAGTCATTGATTCCCTCTTACAGAATTTAAAGTGTTGAGAAATTCACCTTCCTTCCTACTTAGAAATGTGCGTTACAAGAAATCCCAAGTTACCCCTCATTCCAAATGCAGCGCAGAAAATGGAAGAAGAAGGAAGACAAAATTTAAGCAGGAGCAAAAAAACAGGAAGCGCACTGTTTTGGCACTTGCTTTTGCTGATATGAGTTTATTACTCTGCATGATGCAGTTGTTTGGAAAAGACATGTATTTAGGATGAAACTCGTGCCTAAGAAAATTACTCTTTCATGTCTGTCAGTGCTGAACCTTGGCAGTGATAGAAATTCTGCTGATGTGACCAAGTACCACCTAGAAAACAATAGACACAGCCTTTATTGAGTGCACATTTCTTAAGCCAAAATCACCAGATGAGCATAAGCAGATTTTTTGCTCTATTTCTTTCCTTACTTACATTTCAAACTTCATCTTATAACCTGAAGCTGGGATAAGAAAAGTGAAAGTGCACACTGCAATAAGTCAGAATCTGTTGTGGCTTCAAAGTGTTGCCCACAAATGTGACAGAAGCACGAAGGAATGCTCTGATGACATTCTTTATCACACTGCTCAGGTGCAGAGCTGCACACCCAGCCCTGTCAGTTACATTAACAGGACAGAAACAATCATCAGAATTCCCAGTCAAGCCAAATCCAAAACCTCTGGAGCAGACTATAAAATTGAGACACCTCCTGTGAATGCCACTGGGTATCGCTGTGAACAGAAACAGCGGGAACCGTGAAATGTGCAAGACCATGGTGAAATCACTGATCTTCTAACCCACATCTTCAAGTTCTCATTTCACTGTATCTTAGGCAATAAATACTGACTGAAGGAAGCTCATCAGGATACACAGTACCAAATACGCTACTAAGAGATGAACCAGTCTTTGCCATCACTTGCTTAACCATCAGCCATGGAAATCTGTATTCTGCTTCTAAGTTAGGCCTTTTATATATAGTAGGAATATCTTCTGAATGCTAGAGAACTACAGTGACCCAGAGCTATCAATCTCCACGCATGCGACACTCTTAACACATTGCTACTTTCCTGGTGAAAAGAAAAAAATGTTTCAAAGAGCATCCGAGGAATATTTGAACAGATACCTGAAGGCCAGGGGAGAGATGGAAGCACAAGGAAGCATCACTCGCTGACCTGTTTGAAACACATTTTCCTATGAACTGTATCTGTTTAACACAGGCTTTTCCAAGATCAATTTTACCCCATAAAAGCACATGTCAGTCATGTAGATCTGACACCAAAAGCAACCACCCTGTGAAGCGGTGCTACTCAGAGCTAACATATCAACCAAATGGGCCTCATGGTTCTACAGCTGGCCTGTCTCGCTGAAGTAACTTCTGCCTTTTAAACCTCTGATCAGGAGGTTCTGCCTCCCAAAGAAAGAAGGAAGGAAAACACCAATGACCCCACAGGGGATTTTTCCATCACCAGCAAGCATTCAGGGAGGGATGTCCAGAGCACTGAGCAAGGGGAGCAGAGGGGCCAACCAGCATGTGTGCCTTTCCCACACATCAGGAACCAGCTGAGCCCTACGGGGAGGATGCCACAGACCAGTGCCACACTGGTGGCCTATGGGCATGGCAGCACCAGGGCTACCCAGCCACTGGCCCTGCCAGAAGGACACCAAGCTCCTCCACTCACACTCCCTGGAAAATTCATACAAGGGCACACAAGCAAGACTTTCCCTGTTTGTTTTTCCCACACGAAGCCTCTTCATGTTTTTATAGCAGATAAAAACGTTGAGGGATTTGCAAGGTGGAGGTTTACAAACACAAATATGCCTTATGTCTACTTTGTTTTTCTATTAGCATAAAATAAAAAACTGCAGTTTAGCAGGTGGGGAAATTGACACAACACGAATAAGGCAACTTTCTTATGTCACTCCACAAGGGGATAAGGAACAACACAACCTCCCATCACTGCACTTCCACACTGCTCCGGGTTTTCAACCCCCTGTTAGCACCCCAAGAGAGGCCGTGTATCTGGCACAGGAGCCAGCAGAGCCGGTTTGCACCGCACCATCACCGCGGCTGGTTGGGCCGGAGCACAGAAACCCCAGGAGCAAAACCGCTTTCCAGCACCCTGCAGCAGCGAAGGCGCCTTGAGACGTACCGGCTTAGCGCAGCACCGCGCCGCTCCTCGGCGGGGAGGACGAAGCCCGCGGTGCCTCGGGCGGGGAAGCTTGCCCCCGGGCCGGCAGAGCCGGAGGCGATCCCACCGCGCAGGTAGCAAGCACCGGTGCGGCCGCGCCTCCCGCAGCGCGGAGAGCAGCTGGAAGGATGGGAGTGAGTGGGGAGGGGGACACACAGCCCAGACCTTAACCTATGACTGGTTTCGGGTAGCAAACCTCACCTGAGGCTGCAGCACTTAAATACCAAATCTAACGCCCCGCCTTGGCGTAGGCTGTGTTAAATCAAGCAGCTCAGGCAGGTGTAGCTAATCTGGGAAAGTGTCTGGGATGTTTTTAGTGTTTTCAGTGGAATTATCCATAATGTAACAGGTGCATACCGCTACATCATACAAAAACTCGTGTTTCAGCCATTTTTCTGAGACACGGCTCACTTGTCTCTTTCTTAAACGTAGGTCTATGCTCTCACACAATGTCATCTTGCTTTCAAATGTTCCATGAAAGTATTTTTGGTTCTTCAGAAACACAAAGCACTGGCAGATGAATAAACACCTTTTTTTTTACAGGGTAGGTTCTGCAAAATCACTGCTTGTGATAATAGCTATAAGCCTGGTGCTGTCTGGAGAAAAGGCAGAAGTCTTTTCCCAGCCTTCCCCACTTCTTGCACTGGAGGAGCATTTGGAGTGCAGGCAGATGAAACAGTGCACACCTGAGCAAAGCCCATGTTGTGAGCCACAAGTTAAAAAATAAATGCAGATAAGCCATTCTTCTTACAAATATTGAACATGGTACAGTATTTGAGCAGTGTCTATAGGTATATGCAAAGAACAGAGTAACATTTACAAGTTCATACACCCTTTAAGTGTCATAACACATTGCAGAGACAAACTAACCCAGGTTTGCCCTAATTTGTGTATCTGTTATATTGCATGTATATATATGTCAGAATGTTAGCGAATGAAAAATAAATGAATGGATTTAGTAAACCAAACCAAATGTGCTCAAGTTGTTCTTTGGGATCTGAGTCTGGGTTTTTCACGGGTGAAAGAGTACAGGGAATTTAGAGTTCAAGAAGACAACATTCCTTTCCCCATTCCCTGTAGGGAGCACGTGTGTCACACTTCATGCTAATTAAAATAAAATCTGAATTGATAAAGACAGGGGCTGAGATTTTGCTGAATGCAAAGGCTGACTCCCGAATTAATCAAGTTTCATATTCAGTATGTAAGTAAAGGAGAGAAATGCCTCTGAAATATATTGCTTCCAATACCTGGGGGATTCAGACAAGGAGAAGGATGTTAAAAAGAAGAATCTGACTGATCTGATATTTTTCACTGAGTGACAACCACACAGGCAGCTTTTTGATACAAACAATACCCCAGACAGTCAGCTCGGGGTTCAGCAGTGATATGGAGAGGCATTATTTTTGTTACTATGGAAATCATTAGGCACCTGCCTGGCACAAAAATCTGCAACAGAACAAAAATGTGAAGCAGGCCTGAGAAGAGCTGCAATATGGCACGTGACAAGTGACAAAAGTGGCATTTCACAGGCCCTGAACAACTCATGAGAAGTTCTGCAGAAACATTATCTTCAGGATTTCTTCTGTTTCATTTTGGCTATGACAATACATGCTATGTGACATAGATGTGGAATGGTAATCAATCTGGCTTCAGCACACCAGTGATCATCCGTCTAGGAAAACCAAAACCAATTCTGTAATTTCATAACTTATCTAGACAATGGGTCTGTCTGCTCTTTGGTGAAGCCAAAAGTTGTTATGGCCCTGAGCAGTCTGAAGACGAGGAAATCTTAATTAGTAGGAAAGTCATGAAAATAGTTGCAGAAGAGTAGAATGACTGCATTTTGACAGGGAAGAAGTGTTTGATTTTGATTCATGCAGACTGTAATCCTTGACAGCAATCCTATAAGCATGACTCGGGTCTTACACGAAGGAACTGAATCATGATGATGAAGAGGCACTTCATTTTCTGTGCCAGTCCAGCTTTTCTCCTCCTTTATGAGACTGTCAGTTAAGAGTTTATTGGTGGCAAGTGTGATAGTAACACACTTCTAGTACAAGTGTGGTGTAGAAAATGTCTTCCAGGGAATCCATCAGTGCCACCCATTAATTGTTTTGCATAGGCTGCCTAGGGAGAAGATGGATGACGGAGCTTTGTCAGTACAAACATAGATCAGACTTAAAACAGGATCTACAGATGACATGTTACATCTTTTATCACCTATTGACTCAGATAAAGAGTAAATAAAATAAAATAAACAATAAGAATAAATAAAATAAAGAGGAAGGATATTACTGCCATTGGTTCCAGTGTTCATTTCAGATACTTCCCTTTGGGGAAGAACAGGCAATTATAACAAGCAGTACAGCCACAAAGAAGGCAATATATAAATAAATAAACCCCAGGTTGTCTGCAGCTACTAAGGTGATTTCATCAGATCTTACAACTTGACTCTTGTAAACTATCAGAATGTACTGCCAGCACTCTGTTTGTGCTGAGGACCTGACTGGTTTCTACACTCCAGAGTTTTGTGGAAATAATATATTTGTGTGCAAAATGCCTGTTTTCATCAAAAACTGATTCTACGCTTGCAAAGTGTCTGCCACCAGCTGTAATGAGCACTGAATTGAATCTAAACTGGTTATTCCCCATCTGGTTCTGAATTACAAGGAGTAGAAATTGTGGATGAAACAACTGGATAATTTATGGAAATAATTAAAATGAAAATTAATTTAATAATTAAAGTCCGTTTTTCTTTCACACCCAGGCCTCACCAGAAAAACACACCATCTGCATCATTAAAAGGACAACGTTCCTATTGTTTTCTAAACACACAACCAGCCCATCATAAGAATTGAAATGCCTGTAATACAAGGGCTTTCTGGTGGTTGTGATGAAGTATGAGATGTATTTATTCATGCCTCTGCCATGCAAGAATGAAACAAATAAGCTATTATTACTGAGAGAACGACAGGCCATCCAGGCATTCAATATAGAGACATGAATAGTGCTGAATAATACACATGACAGGAGAATTTGGATATGACAATCTGCTGTATGACTGGTAGGGTATAATGTAAACTGCTAAGGTATTAAAAACAGGTGTGTTTAGAATTTCTAGCACTGCTTCCTAAACTCCTAAATTCCTAAACTCCTAAACTATGGGGGCTTGGTTTTGTGGCAGAAAGATGAGGGTCAGTGTTCTAGGACTTCCTAAAGTTTTTTCACTTTTCTATAATGCGACGCACTGGAAAAGGTAGGATGGCTTTTCTTGTGTGCACCTTCTGAAATCCCCTCTCGTTACGGACATTCATACTGCTAATAGTGCGCAGCCATCTGGGACAACAGAAGGCATTTTCTAATCTAGAAACCAGATGTATTTGAAGTTCTTATTGAGAGAGAATTCTTTGTTCAGAGATGAAGAGAGAACCAGAGCTATTCGATCCAGTTTTGTCTTGCTGTTACAGAACATGTAATGGCGCTCAGTATTTGACAGGTTATTGCGGTCAGTACTGAAGAAGCTGTTCTGGGTTATAATATCTTTTGGACAAAATTCTAGATCATTTGCCTTCAGTAAGAAGGCAGGGGTTTTTTTGGTTGCAGATAAGCTAGAAACTCCCTTGGTGCATAATGAATTGTGACATGTTAGCTTGGTTTTTGCAATCTGATAGGTGGAATATATCTATAAAGGCATCGGCCATTCATAACACAGAAAATGGCATAAGCAGCACAGACAGTATCCTCTGACGACTCATTGCACTGAGAATCAGGACATGCAGGCTCCATGGTGATGGCAGGTAATGGCAGCCATGTGAGGGGATGTCTTGTAATTTTTCAGGTGCTGTCACACCACTTGCATGCAGGATTGCGTAGCACTGCTGATTAGATTGCCGTGGTACTGATCATGTAGTGGAATCATGAAGACTACCCTGTGTTAAGTTCCTCCCTCTAGTTATGAATGCATCTTGAGTCAATTGGTTCTAAATAGTTATGCCTTTTCACAGTTAAAAACAGTTTAAAAGCCAACATTTTTTGCTAGAGGCAGGAAGCATCCAGAAGATAAAGGAACCAACACGTTCATCATCTTTCAGAAGGGAGGAAGAAAATTCCCTTGATAAAGTCCACCAGGTTTGCTGCACAGACATCATTAGCAAAACCAGATTCCTGGCTATCAGACAGATTTGCTATTTCTAGCAGGGCCCCCTATAGCATTGCTTCTGTAGTTGCAATGGAGTGGGGGTGGGGCTGGCATTTGATTTTTAATATCAAGGTAAAAGAACATTAGATTTTTAAAATTAAATTTGCAATTCAGAGTCATAGTTGAAGCAAACAGGAAATCCTCCGAGAGAGGGATAGTGGCTCCATGCTTCTGTGTGGAATGTCTGCATGCGTGATGCACAAAGGCCATTAATCTACTCAAGTGTCTTGGAGACTCATTTCTCCAGGACAAGCTTTCAGACACTTTTCCTCTGGACATATGTGTACTTCCCAAGCGGCAGGGTCACAGTCTGTACTTATAAAAGCCTTAACAGAAAAAAAGTGAGTCCTTCGAGGCAGGAAGTCATATAACTGAATATCTATAATTAAACTCAGCTGTAACACCAGTAATCATACATCACGAAACATGAGCTGAAACTATAAACTTGGCAAGAAAAGCATGGGGATGGCGTGGAATCTAGAATTTCTCCTCCCTACATCTCTGGGTGAAACGTGGCTCAAGTCAGAGACAGCTAAAAGTTATTATTAGCTCAGGATTATTTGATGGATCTTTGGACATAAATACTTGTCCACATCTCATTGTGATCCGCTTACTTCAACAACTTTGAATGATGCTACTGGTTTTTAGATGCACATGTAGCTCAATATCTCCCATAGCAATTATCTTATTTACTGGCGGTTTAAGCAGAAATGCTACAAAGGCTGCCCCTCTCACCAGCAGAATTACTTGTACAATCACAGCTCAAGTGTAATAACATGTATTAAAAATTAACATT